CGATCTCAGTTCCCTCTCCCTCCCTGCCTCCCCTCCTCCCCACTGACCCCATATCCCAACCCCTTTCTGCTTCCCAGGGAGGGTGAGGCCTTCCCTAGGAGAATCTTCAAAGTCTGTCATATCATTTGGAGCAGGGCCTAGGCCCTCCTCAGTGTGTCTAGGCTGTGAGAGTATCCCTCTATGAGGAGAGGGCTTCCAAAGTTCATTTGTGTACTAGGGGTAAAGAGGCTACCTTAAAAGCTCTTCTCCAAAATGTGAGTATTAAGGTATTCCTGGAAAGGACCATAGATATGAGACATTTTCAACATATAATTATGCTATTTCAAAGCATCTCTCTCATTCAAGGTCTCAATTAACATGCCCATTGTAATGGAGTGATGCTAAGGACACTTAGCCTTGGATATTTACCTCCATAAAAAGGTTCGGTTTAATGAATTCTCTTGTTAGAGTTCAGCTTAGTGTTTAGCTGTGAGTGTCTGCGTCTGCTGCCATCAGCTACTGGATGAAGGCTCTAGGATGGTATATAAGGTAGTCATCAATCTCATTATAGGGGAAGGGCTTTTAAGGTAGCCTCTCGACTATTGTTTAGATTGTTAGTTGGGGTTGACCTTGTAGTGCCAGAATTCTCTTTAAAACTATAATGGCTCCCTCTATGATGGTATCCTTTTTCTTGCTCTCCTCCATTCCTCCCTGACTAGATCTTCATGCTCCCTCCTGTCCTCCTCTCCCCTCCCCCTTTCCCCTTCTCTTTCTTCTAACTCCTCCTCCCCTACCCCCATGATCCCCATTAGCTTAGGAGATCTTGTCCCTTTCTCCTTCTCTGCTGCCACAGCTTCTTGATCGAGTTTTTTCTTGATCTGAGGACAGAAAGAGGGCACAGTCAGACAGTCAGATACCTAGTTCCTAGGAGGAAAAACCAGGAGGAGGAGACAGGCTCACCCTGTTACCAACAGGGATGGTGTAATGGCATCTGTGTGCTCATTGCTTGCAGCACACCTGTTGTTTTCCCGAATCATCTGAGGTCAGCCTATCCAGCTGTCTCAGAGTCAGACCATGGGGAGGGATTCTATGAGATGGGAAAAGAAGAGTTTTAGAGGAGGGGGAAGGGAGCTGAATGCTGGGGTCATGTGTGAAAAACTGGGTGGGTATGAGCATCTACTGCCCAATTCTAGAGCAACAACATTGTCAGCTTCCCCACCAGATCCTCCCTTAGCTATGAGCTCCTAAAGGGCACGGACCTCCTGAGTTGGAATTTATATTCCATTTTCCTGCAGTGGGAAATTTAATGCAATTTCATTTAATGCAATTTATTTGTTCATTTCAGGCACTAGCCTGGAACCTCGAGGGAATGGGAGTGAATAAAAACTTCCTGGTTCTTGCTTGCATGGTGCTCATAGTGAGGTGGACTTTCAGAGAGCCTGCTGAATGGCTGGCCTTGTTCAAGGGGTGCCCTCTAGGAGACTCTAGGACAGCTTGTGTGTGGGCAGGAAATCCAAAGACCAGGTTTTGGGAAAAGAAACCAACTTCTGTTGAGGGAGGGAGGCTGAACTTTGCCTTTCACAGTGGGAAGTGGGGAAGGACCTGAGAAATTGTAGGGTCTTCCAGGGATTCATCTCTGCCGTTCATGAGCCTCTGGAAGCCAGACATTGCAGCTGGGCAGCCCTTTTCTGGAAGTGATCCAGAATGATACCTTAAGGATAATAAGGCTCTTCTGGAGGGCCCAGGACCTCCAGGCCTTACTACTACCCTATGTACCCTAGCATGGTCTCACTCCATCCATTATGGTCCCTCTTTGCTATCCTCACTATGTAGCTATCCTGAGTCCTTGGTTTTATCAGTTAATCATTTGGCTTTCATCTGCTGGACTCCATGCTTCCTCCATCTGGCTGTATTGCTGCCGTCTGGCTTGGCCCTAGTTGTTGCTTTCCCCTGCAGATAATTTTGGGCCCTTGCTTGCTCTAGCAACATCTCAGCCCCCAAGATCTCTCCCATCCTGCAGTGTCCCTTCTCGAACCACTAATTTGGGTTAGGCTTTCTGAGGCCTGTATTCGGCTCTGGCAGGGGGTCAGGTGAGGGGAGTGATGGGTGGGAGGTCTTTACCTCCTCAGTGTCCAGCCTCATCTTTAGCATGTATTTCTTGTTGATCTTGTCATAGAAGACCTTAGCAACCCCCCCCCCCACCCCCTTCCAGGACACAGTGGGTTTGAGGTTTCCCTGCACCAGGGCTATGAACACTGCTTTATTCCCTGTGGTGGAAACATGCCATGTTTTACTTCACAGCCTGAAGGTTGGAAACACTGCCCATTCCTTACCTCCTCCTGGGGAGCTGGGTCCAGCCTGGAGCAGGCAGGGATACAATACTCAGCTTGTGCATTGGGGGACACTGGGGAAGGGGCTGGAGAAGAAAGAGGAATAGAGGAGACACAGGGAGAGACATATGCCCAGGAGAGATGATGGGATGAGGTTACTCATGAACTGGGACACTTCCCCAGGCAGGGTGCTGGAACTCCAGCAAATGAAGAATGACACTGTGCTGGACATCTTTCTTGTCACACTTCCTGTGGGCCAAGCGAGAGATCTGGAAAGGCTCTAGGTGGGAGTTCATCTTGGGATTGAGGGATCACATTTGCTTGAGTGGGTGGAGCATGGATAGCAAGAGCAGTGAGGGCCAGAGAAAACAGGAAACCATCTGTGGCTGGAATTGATAGTCATCAAATTCTGTCAAATTTCAGCCACTAGGGGGCACTAACACTGCTTCACCACTCAGTGGTCAAGGACCTTTATAGTCTTGATAGCATGATGCTGATATATAAAATGAGACTTCCCTTTTAGGATATCTATCTATCTATCTATCTATCTATCTATCTATCTATCTATCTATCTATCTATCTATCACCTACCTACCTACCTACCTTTCTTTCTCTTGAATTTCTCTCCTGGGAGTTCTGGTCCCCTAGTATAAGGTACTTGGGCCTGCTTCTCCTTGGGAGGGCTGCCACTTAGCTGAACTCTGTCCTAGATTTTTCCCAGCCAGTCTGTGGGCTCAGGATTAGTTTTCTTAGAAGTAGTGATTCCTGGGTGAGGACAGAACACATTGACAATCCAGAGGGCCTGTCTATGGACATCACCTTAACTGACAGAGCATATACCACCCCATCCCCTCCTTGTTTTGTTTTCCTGAGATGATGGGGAGTGAGCCCAGGGCCTTGCACGTGCTGGGCCAGTGCTCTATCACTGTGGTATAAACTACAGAAGATCTTCGTGGCTGATGAAGTTATCAATGAATAATAATTGCTTTGTTACAAAGCCCTTCTCCTGTGCCCTGGGCTGTGTGAGGCACATATCAGAGGTGATTTTGTTAATCCTCAGGGCAACCAGTGAAGTAGGTGCTTTTGCTATCTGCACCCAGGCTGAGATGGAAAACATTTTGTTAAGAAGCTCTCGGCTTGATTTTAAATAGCAACTAGAGTTCTAAACAGACGGTGTGGAGGCTGTACTTTGCCTGCAGATGTCTTGTCTTTGACCTCCACGGTGTGTAAACAAAGTAGCCAATCATGAAAAAGGAAAGATGTCACATGTGAATTTTGATTGGGAATTAGTGGGAGGTGAACCACAGCTGTCTCTTTAGAAGGGTGTCCTCTCAAGTGTCCCCCGCTTTCCCTCCCACATTTGTGTTTCCCCATTTCCTGCCTGACTCTGTTGGTCAGTCCCGTCAACCCTGGCTACACACCAGAATCCCTGAGGAGCTTAAAAAACATTCCGGATTTAATGGTCTGGGAGAGACCCAGGCATGGCTAGCTTTTCCAGCCCCACCCCTAGGTTGAGATGGCTTTAATTCACAGCGAGGGCTGAGAATGATGACTATAAACCATTTTGCAATTTTTGGTCTAGATCATAGATAGACCTTGAGTGCTGGCTGCTTTACTTCAAGGCTCTGTCTCACTGGCCAGAGCAGGATGGGGGGTTTTTTTTTTTTTTTTTTTTTTTTTAATCTCATGACCTTGTACACAGAGGACGTAGAGAGACTCTGTCCTTCTGGGACCTTGAAGGTAAATGCAATGGTTGTGAGGAAAGATACCTTGGCCTCCAGAGATCTTTTAACCGCTTCCACCAGAGACAGCTGAAAGTCTGTCCTGCTTGAGACCCCTTCTCTACTTTCCTTTGGTGCTCTCTCCTTCAAATCTGGCCTCAAAGGATCAAGAGCCTGGTTGCTCAGGGCATTTGTTTATGTGCTTGTGTTGCCTCTTCCTGTGGCTAGGTCTCCCATTTCTTAAGAGAACCAGGATTAGTATTGCTCAATGTAGGTAAGGTGTCTACCTTCCTGCAAGCATGACATTCACGCAACCCATTTGCCCCTGGCTCTGAATGTCTTAAGCAACAAAAGAGTTTATCAACCTTTTACACACATCTGTGGGATTGGTGTTTTTCCTAATCTGTTTTCCCACAGATTTGGCCATCCAGCTCAAACCTTAGATTAGAAGCACAGGTTGAGAGGAGGTTGCTGCTGGTATTGGGGTCTCCTGAAGGGCCAACTCACAGCAAAGTCCGAGGCCACCCATGCGTGGATACAGAAGAAGAAAGGCTTTCCTGTCCTTCCCTTCATACTCCCTCACCCATTCCACCATCTCCCACCATCTTGGTAGTCTGAGAGGTCTGCACGTCGGGGATGGAGCTGGAGAACTCCATGGACACATATTCCTGTACCATCTGCTGGTGGTAAGTGGTCGTCATGGTGACAGCAGGCTTGGGCACTCACCCTGTGTGGACCACAGAGAGGATGAGGCCACTGAAGATAAGGTGGTGGGAGGGATGTTCAGAGGGGTGTGTGTGTGTGTGTGTGTGTGTGTGTGTGTGTGTGTGTGTGTGTGTGTATGTGCGTGTGTGCTGTGTCTACAGACACAAGGGAGAAGGGAACACACAGCAAAAGAAAGTCAGGCAATGGACCTTTACTCTCTGGCTTCTCTTTGCTTCCCATTTACTTTTCCCTGACAGGTTACAAGGACTAATGGGCCTGTCCATTCACCCAGTAACACAAACAGTCCCAGGTTCCTGGAGAGGGGGGAGATGGGGCTTAAACTTACCCAGATAAGTGAGAATCACTCACAGGGAGCTGGGGTACCTGTTGAGAGGTGCATGGGAGAGGAAGACAGTGCTGGGCATTTCATAAGGAGGGAATGAAGTCAGGCAAAAGGAGGGATCCCCAACTATGCCTTTCAAGGAAGCTGACCAGCTTTTCTTTCTGGGTCCTGGGATGTGTGGTATTTGGAATGATGAGACAGGTGACTGTGCTTCCTCAGCTCTGTTTTCACTTGTCACGGGACAAAGGCAAAGGCTTAAATTTTATTTTTCATACTTCTTTTGAACTAGTAGTTTAATACATTAAGAACATAAGATACCATATACACTTTCTTCCCACCTCCCAGTCTTCCAGATAGGGACCTGCATGCAATCTGGGGTTCCCTCTGGAGCCCTTCCAGGGTTGTGTGGCCTTCCCATTGTACATTCCAGGCAGCCTGTCACACACAGTCCTGGCCCTGCTTTCTCTCTGTGCCTTGAAGATCTCTGTATACCGGTTTATGACAGCATCAGTGTGTTAGTGTGTTAGTGAATGGAAGCATCTGCCCCCTAGTTAACTTCTGTGGTGGTCTTTTTTTTTTCCCGAGACAGGGTTTCTCTGTTTAGCTTTGTAGACCAAGCTGGCTTCAAACTCACGGAGTCTGTCTGCCTCTGCCTCCTGACTTTTTTTTTTTTCAACATTACCTTTTTTTTTTTTATTAATTTTTTTATTTTATTAGTTCTAGTTAGGGAACAAGCTTATTTCAATGGCTTTTAAGAACCTATTTTGCATATGAGGAAATGTTTCTGATTGAAGTGACCTATCCAAATTGTCACCCAGAACAGATTCTGATCTTCTTGCTCCTCCAGAGAATCCAAGGCCTTCTTCTGAGCTGATAGTCTGAGGCTAACTCCCGTATTTCTACCTCCTACATCTTCACCTGGGTTGCTTCTGTCTCTGAAAGCATCCCATATTCTGCCTCACTTCGTCTCCCCCTCTGGCACAGAAAGTACCAGTTTATGTCTCTAGAGGGAATGGCAGGAAGCCTTACCTTCTTTACTAACCTGAGCCTTCCAACCCTTGAATGCTGTGCCTGTGGCCTGGAGGCTCAGCTGCTGCCCTGGCAGTAGGATGGACAGTCTCCTTCTTCATTCCAACAGTGGGCATTGATTGTCACCAGCCCCTTAGATGCTGCATCCTTGGGGAGGGCTTTCTTAGGCTCTTATTTCAGCTTGATGACACACAGCTTGGCAGAGGGAGTTGGGGAGTTGGGGGACGGAAGCAAGCTGGATGCAGGAATGGATGGAATGCTGGGGACCAGGCCTGGGGGAAGCTGATGTGGCAGGCCAGGAGTCCATTTCCTGTGCCTAATGGTTGAGGCTCTGTTTCTCACTGTTGCAGGGTAGGGCTTCTTTGCCCAGGGTTGCTGTCCCTGCTTGGACACATGAACACGTGCGGGGTGACAGGGTTGGGAGCAAAGCCAAAGGCCTTTGTCTCCCCAGGACTGGGAAGAGGTGAGTCATGTGGATGTGCCACCTTGCACAAATCCTTGGGACTACCATTTGTTCTGCATTGTGTGGCCTCTGAAATCTGGGTAGAGGGGCCCATCCTCTGGAGGGACATCTGTGTGAGCTGGCAGCCTTGCCCTGGACCTGTTGGACCAGTCTCCTTACATCCTGTTGGGCCTATGGGGCCCAATAGCAGCTGCAATTTCCAGCAGTTTCCATTGGAAGGCCTGAGCTGAGAGTAGCCCTTCCCAAAGGGCCCCAGGGAACTAGATCCTAAGCAATCTGGGACACTTCTCTGTTCTTCTCCCCTGCCCCTGGGATGAAGCAAAAGTAGCTGCCCCTGATGGTGAATGGAGGTCACCCCAGGGCAGGCTGCTGGCCAGCTAACACGGCTTTCAAAGATTCAACCATGGAGAGGATGGCACAGACAATAAGAAAAAAATAAGGGTGTCTGAAGCTCAGATGGGGTCCCAGAGAAAGTTAACTAATGCCCCCTTATTCCACCCCTGGCCTCCCTGACTCAGCTCTCTAGCTGGTGGCCTGCTAGCACATTGCCTTCCTGGAAGCTTTTCATACCCATCTGTGTGGTTCCTTGTGGTGCAGTGTACTTCTGTGGGATGGAGCTGAAGACCGAGTGAGAATCCTGGTGTATTAATAGACTAGGTTTTCAAATCCGGCTTCACCTATATTCCCAATCCCCACAGGGGGCGCCAGGGAGCAAGAGGGCCAACTATGTACATGGGTAGAGAAGGAGAGGCACAAATTCTGGAGTGCAAGGAAGCTGGGAATGGAGGGAACTGGAAATGACAGACCCAGGAGACTTAGTTTTGCTCAAAATGCTCTGTTTATTGCTCTATTCAATGACCATGAGCTAATTATAAAAAGACACCAAATGTCTCTGTTTGCCATGGAATAAATATTTAAAATCAGCAATAAAAACACGTGGCTCCAAGATAACACATGTTGCCAAAGTGTCATGCATGCCCTGATCATGGGCTCTCAACACACACGTGGACACAGGGCACACACGCAGAGCGACACGCAGCAAGACTTTTGGGCTTTCCCAGAGTGACACAGAAAGATGTCTTACAGGTCTGGAGTTGAGTCCCCATCCTACTCTTGGAGGCCCCCCTCAGGGCCCGGCTCTTTGGGGTTCCCCACCTGCATTTGTCCTCTTCCTCTCCAGTGCCTCACAGGCTGGTCATTGCCTCCTGAGAGTATCGAACACTCAGAAGCCATCTAGAGTAATGCCGACCCTTGCCCAGGAACCTTCTTTAGCTGGAATCTCTCTGTCAACCACCACGTGCTCTCCTGCCTGATCTCTGAATCCTATTCCTGCCATCCACATCCTGGTGGCAAAATGCAAAACCTGCCTTTCAGAGGAGCTGGTGGAGCCAGAGGCAGGTACCTCTGCCTTGGGGGTTTGGGGACCGAGGGGCTAGAGCTCAGTTCATTGCTCCTTTCCTGGCTGAGGGGACACAGTGTCTGGTACAGATAGCAGAGATGATGGGCAGACAGAACACATAGTGGTAGGACACTTGGGGCATGGCGTGGAAACACTTTGGGCCAAGTAGCAGTGGAACCATGGTTAAAACTGAGGCCCCAGGTCCCTATGATGTGGGTCAGGCCCAGGGGCCCCAGGCCTGGCCTGGCATATTCCTCCCCTGCCCTCCCCAACTCTGCAGTATGTACAGTAGAAGAGCTAGGCTGGGGGTAGGGACCAGGCCAGGATAACAGAGGGGGAGCAGACTGAAGAGAAGGAAGAGTGAGGGGAAGGGCCGGGGAGCAGGCCCAGGACCCAAGGCCAGATCTTGGGTTGTTGGGGTGAAGGCCCAGACTCAGGCTGGGCAGTGCCCAGAGGAGCTCAGAGGAAGAGTGTGGTCACTCTGAGGACTGGTGGGACAGCTGCTTCTCATAGAGGCTCATGACGTGGTGCACAAACTGGTACTGTTCGCATGTCTGGATCATGCCACCCCTGGCCAGTAGAGATGCAGTGGGCTGCGGGAGGGGTCCTCAAACACTAGGGCCACCAGCTATTCTGTAGCTCAGGGAGACTAACTCTTCCCAGTTATTGCCCTCTGCCCCCTCATTTCAGGGACACCCCTTGTTTTCAACCCCCGTCCTTTCTACCAGCTGTTTGTCTTGTCTTCCTGCAGAGAGCTGCCTGGATTCTGCACTGTCCCGTTTGTTTTTTCTGCTCCCCATCTGCCTTACAGACTATGTCTGGTTTGTCAACTGTCCCTCGATTCATGCACACATCACACTGCCACCGTCTCCTCCCCTGACCAGTGGCTGACCTGTCCTGACGGAGCTGGCATGTGGTCTTTAAGATGTCCACGGTGCCCTCGAGTCGCAGCTGCTGACAGCAGATGCTGGTGGCGATGAAGCAGCCAGTCCTCCCAATCCCTGCACTGAGGTTTGAGAGGATAGATGGCTTGAGGGGCACAGTAGGCCAGGGATGGGGGTGGCTGCACCCCAGTGGGTGGACAGGAAAACCTACCTGCAGTGAACGATGATTGGAGAACAATGGGGTCCCTCTTGTTGGGCTGCCTCCTCCACCTCCCGTACCAGGTGCAGGAGTGGGGGTGCCCGGTCCGGGGTCTTCTGGTCAGGCCAGGATGTGAACCAGTAATGCTTCAAGCCTCGCTCTTCAGTCCCTCTCTGAGAGAGAGACAGAGAGAGAGAGAGAGAGAGAGAGAGAGAGAGAGAGAGAGAGAGAGTCCTCCCACCCCCCAGATACATGTGAGTGTTCCAGGACCTAATTCATGCAAAGATGGAAATGGGAAGGGAGGCAAGGGAGGGGTGCAGAGAGTACAGGAATCCTTAGTCCCATTTACCATATTGCCTAATGGCACAAGGAAGATCAGAGTTGTGTGTGTGTGTGTGTGTGTGTGTGTGTGTGTGTGTGTGTGTGTGTGTGTCTGTGTCTGTGTCTGTGTGTGTAACATTGGCCTCTAAACTCTAAAATCATTCAAGAAAGGCAAAGAGCCTTTTCTTTAATTCATTACTATCTAGAAGTTCCTTGTTCTGACAGATGTTCCAGGCACCTCTTAGTCACATGACCTAGAGCACAGGGACTATGCTCTGCTTGCCCATCCAGCTGTCCTCATTATGTGCTGCCAGTCTCCTCTCTGCTCTACCTACCCACTGTGGGAAGATCCTACCCT